TATAACGATGAATAAAAAATGGTCGTGATATTCAAATTGCATAATATTACGCAGTAATGTAAATATTTATGTAGTTTAAACATCTACAAATTAAATATTTTTTCCAAGAATAGCTGAAAAGTTAAGCAGCTGTAATTGTGAGTTAAAAGCTTTTAAAGATTGTCCAACGTAAGTACAGATGTAAAGTTAATTATTCATTCTTTAAGTGTTGTTTGAATTTTCAATGCTGTTGCCATTTAATCTAAATGAAAATACATACTTTGTAGCATAAAACTTGAATTTGTACTCTTAAAAAAGTAAAAAGGCAAAATAATGTGAAATATTTTAATTCTGTACATTATAAAATCAAACAACTTTTTTAATTTGTTTCGCTTGACTTACACTAATAATTTTAGATTTTATAGATTGGTAATATATATCAAAAATGTATATGTATATACTGTATAAATTTGTTTTTTTCTGGCAAAATTCACATTTTGGAGTAAGCTAGTGAATTGATGAATGAATTATTTATTCCACTAAATTTGCTACATGGTACAAATGTAATCAATTTTTACAATAACTATTACGTTTTCCTAACATAAAGTAATAAAGAAAACATAGAAAAAATTAACAAAGTTGTACACAAGGTAAAGTTGTAAAGTTGTTGTAACAAGGTTGTAAACTTAACGTTGAATGATTTTGATATTTAAATTTAGTCCCTTATTCTACTTGTAAAGTTTTTTCAACAAAATGTTATATCGAATTTCACCAGCATAAATATTTTATTAACAGTGGAGTATGTGAATATACAAGTTTGCAATGAGGTTTTCGAAACGATCGAAGTAAAGTTTTGCTATTATCAATATTTGAATTCGTCATGGTAGACGGCTAAAAGGAAGTTGGAAACTGACAACGATGCAACTTTTGACAATCGGATTGATGTTTTCGATTATTAAATCGATTTATCGTATCAAGATGAAGTCAGGACGTTTGAGTTGTGTTGGTTTGATGTATTTAGATTCGCAGATAGATTTTTATAGAATAAAAATATTTTAGAGATTTCTATTATTGCCCACACACCCATTCAGTAAACGCTTTAAAAATGTTATTGTGTCTATATTGGATGGATTTTGGTTTTAAGAATAATTATACGATCAATTAAATTGTTATGAGTTATACCATTAAAACAATTTATTTTTAATAAGCATGCTGGCCGATTAAGTTAAAACCAACCGAATTAAAATAGATGTTTGATATGGGTAACATTACATAGTATAACAAGATAGTCTACAATGTAGTCACAAGGAACTAAAACTAAATTGGTTTAATCCCAAGGAAAAATGTTCTTGTTTAAATCTGTTGGTTCTTACAACAGTCTTAAACTGATAATTTATTCGTCGTAATTTTATTATTTAATAGAAAAGCAAACTTCAAGCGATCAAGATTCATGGAATGGCTTTTGAAATAGCAATCATGGAGAGCAACGTTATTCAACTCGCCTTAAACTATATATTGAGCTCGTTTGGCACGTTTTGAGAATTCCACGTATAAGTGCTTAGTTCTTTCGTACTTTCAGTGTTTCAAATTATTAAAATAATAAAGAATTCCACAAATAATCAACATCACGAATACGAATGTAAAATATAAATATTAAATTTTTAATTCCAGATGGAATGCTTCCTAATTAAAAAGAAGAAGGTTTGATGTTAGTCAAACTTTCATAGAATTTTGATAATGATTGGGGCTCTTTCACTTGTTTTTAATTGACTATTAGAATACAGTATCCTTATTGATTTTGCCAGATCTTAGAAAAACACGTGTTTAAAAAAATAGTGTAAAACATGATTTTTTTCAGATTTATTTCACTAAATGCTTATTTTAGATAGAAACTTAACTATAGCATAGAAATAGTTAAAATTATAATATAAAAGTACAATTATTCAAATTTAGACGAAACTGACAAATTTTAAGTTATAAGCCTGCCTTGGATTCTATTTTCAAACTTTTAAATATCAATACCATTTCTTACTTTCCCACTTTTTATGTTTCACAATTACAAAGCCAACAATTTATCATTTTCAAAAAATTTACACATCTTTTTAAGGAAATATAAACTAGCATATCTTTCTCTTACATCGTGGGTTTCATAATCAAAATTGAACTCGTGGAAAAAGTAATCTATATCAAACTTACAGGAACCTAACAGTTTTACATAATATTTATACACTGCACTTACTGTTTCCCTTTCATATGGCCAGGTAAGACAAATGTTACACGTTTTCCGCATGCCAACTCGCAATATTTACTGCAAGAGAATTTATGTTCATGAACTACTTTTATTGCTATAATCCTTTACCTCAGTATACGTTTTAAAGGTAAATAGAATATTTTCATTATTGAAACTGAGTCAGTTAGATTTTTAAGGTTAACTTTTAGCATACTTAACACTTGTAAAAACGAAATTTTAATCTATGAAAGTGACGATTAGTACTTTAACACACCGTTCAGTTTAACTCAGTTGTTATTAATAATATTGCCAAAGAATATCCAAGGTAAGTGCAGGGAATGAAAATAAAATAACCAATAAAATAAAGGAACAAGCCAAAAGTAAATTTCAAATGAAGGAACTAAAACCCTTATACTTAAAGTGATTATTACATACCTATTGGCTGCTCTTCACCTTATGCTGTCACCTATTTCAAACTAAATTAAAATTTTGATTTATATAAAGGACAAATCTGAAAATGTTTCAATACAAACCAAACTCTTGTGAAACAGAATCATTTCATTTTTTTTTCAAAAGGGGAAAATTGGAACAAGTTCTTGAAAGCCTTACCACAATTTAAGACCTTTGTTTTATACTAAACCTAAATAGTACTAAAACTGCTTGGCTTATTCCGTTCTGTAGAACATCTTTGTTAAACATTCTCTGAAACAATTTTTTTGTTTTCTGTTCTACAAATAAATTTTGCCTAGGGCGGTGAGCAGACTCTGAAATAGTGACCGTATTACATCCGTAGCTATATCAAACGTCTGTCTCAAATTGCGAAAAAGAATTCTATTTCATTGCTTACCCTATTTTCATTCTGAATGTGATAACAACTATTTCACAATACCACAAATAACACACTGCAACGTGTATCCTGATACTATTTCTGAAAACAGAATATCACAAAATGGTGCAGAAAATTAGTAGTTGTCTTAGCTTTCGAATCACTTAATTTAAAATCAAACTATGGGTGGGACAGGTTTTTATCTTTTACTAATTTAAACAATAATAAAAAAAATTGACAATCTATTGCATATTAAAAAGTAAAAAATAAATACAGTAAATGGAGGATAGACAATCCAGTAATTATTGGAATCTTCAACCTCCAAATTCCAATTTGTTGTTCCAATTAGATGTCAAGGAAGAAACTTCTTGAAACTGTTATTTTGATTTAACTGGTCAAATTAATTTCTAATAGATCACACTAAATGTATTTTGTTATAAGTTAACCAGATACAAATATTTGTCCTTTACGATTTGTAAAAATATTTTTTTTAGGTATTGCTCTCCTTGGAGGCTAAAAATGTAAATTAAAATTAGGTTGGTTACAAAAACATTTCAAGCAAACTTTGTATTTTTTCACTTTCTCAAAATACATGGTAAATTTTATGAAAAGGCCAAATATTTGTATATGAAGGTGTCAAACATTTCCAGAAAAACTTTTATTTTTAAACGACAAAGTAATTAATAGATTTTGTAAATTTAAATCCAAACTAGTTTTAATTTCAACAAACAATTTTTTTAGGTACAGCAATTCCATGTTTGAGATATAAATCCAAAATTAAACTATACAACGAATTAAACCGAATCATACTAAGCTATAGTTTTGATTACAATAAATTTTGATAAATTTTTTGTTGGTCTGATAAAACTTAAAATTCTTAACCAATAACAAATAAAGCTTTCACTGTGCAAACTGTGACCTGGATTATTTTTAGGGAAATGCATAGCTTTGGCACTTTTAACGGGAATAGCGTACATTAGGATCTTGTTACAAGTGCTTTTAAGTTCTCACCAGAATAGATTTACTAGAAACCTACTTTGCCAGTCTGTACATTTAATACATTTGAGATGGTAAAGTTAGATCAGTATTAAATACAAATTAATACAAATTTATATGAACACAACTCTTGATACATGTTTTTTTCATAATAATAAAAGGTAAACATTGAATTATTTACAATATGAAATTATTCCAGTCATATGATTAATATTAAAGTAAAAGATAGATTCTTGGAATATATAACAATTCCTCCCTACTTATTTAAGAAGATCGTTCATTTATAAGTTCATCCTTTTAATCGGTTTTCTGATTCTCATTGAACGGCGAATGTTAGGGACATCTGGTTGTGAGGTTGCATTGGACCCTTCAGCGTCTTGTTGTATGATTGTACTTGGCTCTTCGGCCTCTTGTTGGCTGCTTGTACGATTGCTTGTACTTGACGCTTCATTGTTAGTTATAGGGCTTTTTGCCTCACTATCAGGCATTGAGTTTGTTGTAGGACTCGATGTTTCAGTGTCCGTAGTTCCTTCCCAGCTCGGGGTGCTACTTGAGACATTTTCTGTATCATGTGACCTTTGTGAATTGCCTTTTGATTTTCTTAACATGCCGTACCTTGTATGTCCCACGAATGAAGGTTGTCTTGAACAATTTTGATTGGTATTTTGGAATATTAAAGTTCGATGAGTTTGCGTAGGTGGTACTTTGGCTATTTGGTTGCATCGGTTGTTTGAACTTTCTTGCCTTGTTTGCTTCAATGAGCTAGGTAGATGGCTTTTGTAATGAGTAGGATCTTTTGGCACTTCACAAGCTCGAAGCTGATTGAAGTGACGTTTTATCACATACCCATCATCAAGTTCCACGAGGTAGTGAAGTCGCCCCAGCCTTTCCACCACAGTTCCAAATTTCCACAGAATGGATCCTACGTAATTTCTTGATTGTACTCTCTCCCCAATATTGAAATGTTTGTTAAATAGCTCGAAGCTGATTGAAGTGACGTTTTATCACATACCCATCATCAAGTTCCACGAGGTAATGAAGTCGCCCCAGCCTTTCCACCACAGTTCCAAATTTCCACAGAATGGATCCTACGTAATTTCTTGATTGTACTCTCTCCCCAATATTGAAATGTTTGTTAAATATTGGTTGTTGGGCCTCATTTTTGTCATCTTCACCAGGCCTTAAGAGATCTAGCTTGGTTCTCAAGTTCCTGCCAAACATTAATTGTGCTGGGGATGCACCAGTACTCAGTGGTGTAGCTCGGTACCGAAATAATAGTGCACATAGTTTTTCATGTAAAGTGCCCTGTTCAAACTGCATGCACCTCAGTTTTGTCTTGAGTGTTTGGCAAAATCTTTCCGCCTGACCATTAGTAGAGGGGTTTCCTGGTGCAATGAATCGTTGTCTTATTCCTTGGCGTTTGCAGAATGCTTGAAACTCTGCTGATTTGAAAATTGTAGCATTGTCACTGACCAATATTTCTGGTATGCCATGGTGACTGAATATTTCTCTCAGGTGATGAATAGTACTGGCAGTTGTTGGCGCACTTTTTATTGGATATATTTCTGGCCACTTTGATCTGGCATCTACAACAATCAAGAAGTTGTGATTTAGAAAAGGTCCTGCATAATCCATGTGGACTCGCTGCCAGTTGCGTTTTGGTATTTCCCAAACATGGGTAGGGGCCTTCTCTGGGTTTTTCTTATTCTCACAACATGCCTTACAACTTGCCACCATACTCTCAATATCTGTATCAATGTTTTTCCAGTAACAGTAGTTTCTTGCCAGACTCTTCATCCGCACTATTCCTACGTGTGTTGAGTGTAACTCTTGGAGGATTTTAGGTTGTAGCTTTTTCGGAATGACAACACGATTTCCTCTAAAAATGATTCCGTCTTGAAGTGATATTTCTGGGTCAGCGACTTCTCCGTTTAGGAGCTTTTCCTTTAAACAAGAGAGTTCTTCATCAAGTGACGTTTCTTTTTCTATGTCTTTAGCCATGATAGTATCGGTTGTTATGCAGTGTATTGTCTCTCTTCGAACAGTGTAATCTTCGTCAACCACATTGACAGTGGTCGCTTGACTTTTTGTGTACAATCTCATAATCAAATCCTGAAAGAAAATGAGCGTATCTAAGCATCCTGGATGAAGTTAACAGTGGTAGTTTCTTGTCTGGATGAAATATGGTCATTAGTGGTTTGTTGTCAATGGCAAGAGTAAACTTCCTTCCGTATATATAATCAAACATTTTTTTACACCCCCAATATACAGCAGTTGCTTCTCTGTCCAATTGGCTATAGTTGCGCTCTGCAGCAGTGAGAGATCTGCTGGCAAACACAATAGGCTTCTCTTCATTATTTGGCATTTTATGAGAGAGCACAGCTGATAAGCCAACAGGGCTAGCATCTGTGGCAAGTATCACGGGTAAGTCTGGGTCATATGGAGTAAGAACTGTGTCACTTGCTATCTCTTCTTTAACACGAGTAAAAGCTTTTTCACATTCCTGGGACCAATGAAAACGTTTGTCTTTCCTTAGAAGCTGGTGTAAGGGATTTAGCACTGTAGATGCATCTTTGATGAACTTTGAATAGTACTGTACTAGTCCAAGGAATTGACGCACTCCTGTGATATTTGATGGGCGGGGAGCATCCTGGATTGCCCTCACCTTTTCTGGTGATTTCTGGATACCATCTTTGCTGATGATATGACCCAGATACTGCACCTTTCTCTCAAAAAACTTGCATTTTTCAACATTCACATGTAGATTGTGTTCTTCCAATTTTTCTAAGACCTTTATGAGCCTGGATTTGCACTCTTCAACAGTGCAGCCTTGTACAACAATATCATCAAAATACGCCACTGTCCCTTCCAGATTTTGTACAACTTGGTCAATAAATTTATGAAATTCATTTGGAGCTGTCTTAATTCCGAAAAACAGTCTTTTGGCTATATATGTACCCTTATGTGTGGTAATTGTCTGGATTTTAGAACTTTCAGAGTCCACTGAAAGATGTAAATACGCCTTGTAAATGTCTAACGTGCAAAAATAGTTTCCATTCCGCATTTTGTTCAGGATGTCCTCTATTCTTGGTATTGGGTAACGACTGTCATGTAGTTGTTGGTTCACAGTTACCTTGTAATCCGCGCAAATACGGACTGATCCATTTGCTTTTGGAATCACAACAATTAGTGTTCCCCACTCAGATTGGTCCACTTTCTCTATTATGTCTTCCTTTTCGAGTTTTTCTAGTTCATTCTCAACAGCTTCTCGAAGGGCATGAGGTACTGGTCTGGGTTTTAAGTACACAGGTCCCCTAATTATCCTTTAGTTTTAAAGAGCATGTAAAGTTGGGGGTTTTACCAATACATTGTTCAAAAACGCTTGAGAATCTTTGCTTGATGGATTTGACAACAGTGTTGGTATCGACCTCTTGTTTCTTCATACTAACAAGATTAATATTGTGTAAGTTAATTTTCAATTTTCGAATCCAATCCCTTCCAAGAATAGCGTTTTTAGGTAGATTTACAATGTATAGGTCTTCTCTGCAAGATCTCCCTTCGTAAGATATGCTTAGGGTACAGACCCCGATTGGTTTGAATATTTGTCCAGTATAAGATCGAAAAAGAGCACTTGTTTTGCAAACTGGAACATGTAAGTCTAGTTTCTTGAAGTCATCATTATTTATTATGCTGACACGGCTTCCAGAATCACACTCAAAACGTTGCTGTTTACCGTTTAGAGATACGTTTATCATCATTCTGTCATCTCCTTCGTCATTCTTCAATACATTTATGATCCGTTGAACGTCGTATTCATATTCAGAATCAATTTCATCAATTCTTTTTACATTTTTCTTTGAATACTGTAATTCCTGTATTCGTTTCGTGATACAAACCTTTTCTATGTGTCCATCTTTATGACAATACCTGCAATTTAGCTCATCTATCAATCGGCAATTTTGTGTTTCATGGTTATTCCTTCCACAGTGCAAACAGACATCTGAAAATCCCAGTTTTTGTAGCCTTTTGTTTTTGTTGTCTTTCTTTTTGCTTGAGTCATTATTGAAATAGTTTATGGTTGATAAATTCTTGTTTTTAGGTCCAATTTTGTTCTTTGTTGTTTTACTGATTTTGTGAATGTCATTTTGATTATTATTAGTATATAAAATCTGGTTGTCAAGTTTTGATGCCTCTATAGCCAAGGCGATTTCTAAGGCTTTTTCAAATGATATTTCACCTAGTTGTAAGAGTTTTTCTCTTATGTCTGAGTCATATAAACCTCTGATGAATTGAGCCCTCAGCATAAGATTTATAACTGATTTTGTACATTTTCCTTCATTACACCCAGATTTGAAATCTGCTGAACAAGCCAGTTGTTTGAGGACTGTGACATAATTTGTGATTGATTCATTTCCATCTTGTAAACGTGATAAGAATTTATGCTGTTCTGTAAGTATGTTCTTCTTTGGGCTTAGGTGCTCATTTAGTAATATCAGTAACTCTTGATATGTTTTTGAGTCTGGTTTGTCTGGAGATGTTAGAATACAGATCAGATTGTAGTGCTTAGCACCTAAGCAATTGATTAAAAATAGACCTTTCAATTGTTCTGTCTCTGAATCATTGTCTGTCAATCCTTTTATTTTAAAAAATATTTCTAAACGCTGAGTGTAGCTTTCAAACGTTTCCTTACTTTCATCATAAGCATCAAACATCAAGGCATTGCTCTGTAGTAGTTCCTTGGTACTATGTTTTGATCTAGGCTGTTCTGTCTGTTGAATTGAATGTTGTGTCATTAATGTCATAAAATTGTTCAAAGTAGATATAAGGTCCTGTATTTCAGTCATTTTCTTCCTCGTCGCCAAATTATTAAATACAAATTAATACAAATTTATATGAACACAACTCTTGATACATGTTTTTTTCATAATAATAAAAGGTAAACATTGAATTATTTACAATATGAAATTATTCCAGTCATATGATTAATATTAAAGTAAAAGATAGATTCTTGGAATATATAACAATCAGTAAAATGATTAAAGTGCATTATCTAGATAATCTAATTTTGTAAAATAGAACAACTTATTTATTTTACATTTTTAATGTTTATTTTGCAATAATTTTAACTATTTTTAACGCGCATTGACACTTGTAGCCAACACATGTTAGTGATGAGCTGTTTCGACATTAAGAGACAATATGATTCAATTGAGCTGCACGCAGAATATACTATACTCAGCGCAAATAGAACTGATGGGTGGAGGTAATGTTTTTAAATAGGCCAGCTGGTTTCAATCAACCGGCATTTATATTTGAGTTGACTTCAGTAGGGAAAATCTGTTTCAATTTATTTTGCTTTGGACAATTTATTTAATTGGCCTTGTATAATATTAGTTGCTTACATCAGCCATACTTTCAAATGACCTTTGAGATTGGTATGATAAAAAAACAACTTTGGTTTGTTAGATTATCGTATTTATGATGACGACTTGCATTTTTGAATCAAATGTGTTTGTTTATCAAAAAAAACTTGGCCAATTTTCGAATTTAGTTGTCCTATCGATAAGTATGAAACTTCACATTAAAATCCGTAAAGGTATAAAGAGGAATATTTAAACTACGGTATAACAACGGGATTTGTTTTCAAATAAATACTCATCCAACAAATAAATCTTTGTTAAAATAGACCCTTTTAAATATTTTCTTAATAAATGGGTCACTTTTTCTATAACGGATTACAAAATCTTCGGTCTATACAAATTTCAATAAAGGATATAATACAAAAGTTAATATCTCTCAAAAGTTGTGTCTTTGTTCTACGCAATATTTGTAGTCGAGGGATTTAGAAATTTTTTCCTTAGCAGGAAGTAAAAAGTAGTAATATTCTGCGGAGAAGAGTGATTATAGTACTAATCTTCAAACCTACATGCTGCTGGTTCCAATCCAAGCAATATCGTTTTCAGACCCAGATACCATTTTTATTTTGTTATCAATTAATTAACACTGCCATCCAACAAAAGGTCTATGTTAAATAGTAAAAATACAGTAACAGTAATTTGCATGGTTCACTTACAAAAAAATTGAAATAAATAAATTATGTATGTGTAATACAAAATGACGAATACAAAAACTAGTAGGACAAAAAATGTAGGCAAAAAAAAAATCTAACTAGCTAAAGAAATTTATATTTGAAATCCCTTTTTTTTTGTACTTGCAATCTAGCTCAGTTGTGGCATAAGAGATATTATTTCTGATTTTAGTGTAGATTTATTGAAGATAAACATAGCACAATATGATATAACTCATTATAAAAAATGATTGTGTCCTAACAAGTAAATTTCGAAATTGTTTTACTAAAAGCACATGATTGTATTAAGACGCAATATTATTTTTCAATCAAATCAATTTAGATATAGGTAAAGGAGAGTAACACAATACGATAAATTTATGAGTAAATGTAAATTCAGTAATATAATATATTGGAGACCCTCTCACCGAATATCATATAACATTGATTTACAGCTCTTTAAAACACCTCTTAAAAAAAAAACTGAAAAAAAATTTTGAAAGTTTTTCCGAATCCATTTAGAACGAACCGTTAAGCCACGTGAATAATACACAATTATTGTACACCGTTTAGTTTTCTATTTATACAACATAAATTGGTTGAAATGCTCTCCCTGGTCTTCCAGACACATGCTGCAATCAGAGATACGAATATTCCAAACCCATTTAGCCTGGGTTAACAAACTAACAAGCACGAAGATTGTAGAGATCGCCATGGTGTGTAAACAAACAAATGATTGTTTACTTACGTAAGTCACACGTGCCCGAGTCAGTTACGAGAGCGAGCGAAGGTCCGTAAACGGTTGTATAACGGCTTGTAAATAATTAAACGGCGCCAAACGGACTAGAACGGATCGTGTGGCCGTGGTGACCACGGGGTGTCCAGGAACCTTCCGTGTACTCAAGTGATTGCGGTGCAGAATTATATTATGGTTGCATTCCCGCGGTGGGGAAATGTTGATCATGTGGTTCAGTGCCTTTAATACATCCAATCATGTACTAGTTACGTTAAAGAAAATTGAACTCTAGTGTGAAATTCTGGAACTATTTTTCTACAACTTAGTAAAAAGCCAAATTACCTGCACTCAATGCCACAATCGTTATTCGTTTTCATATTTTGTTTTTGAAATATTGAAATTTTAAATAAAAATACCTGGTAGCAAACCTGCAGAATAAGTGAATTTCTATTTGCCCGACTGTTTTAAGCTCTACAAAATAGTTAAAAAAATTATAAAACTTAATTTTTTTTTTGTCAAAAATGGAAAAATCCCATTTTTACCCTTTATACCCCGTTCCCACAGTCCAATCATGCTGGTTCGCAAACTCGTTCAAATAAACGTAGGTTTACACGTTTGTACCAAATTTCTTCAAAATCGGATCATTTTCACTCAAGTTATCGTGCTAATGGACATATATATATATGAATTCGAACGGATGGTTTATTTGGCCCCTAGGGACATCAAAACGAAAAAGTAAATCGGTCCCAGGCCTAGGTCATACCATGAGACCTACGGTAATAGCTTATTCCCTACATGAGAAATTCGCTAAAATTCAATACGTCATAAAATCATCATATGACATAGAACATCAAACTCTCGTATGGGTGAATGCATTATTTCCAAGAGTTGCAGTTGTTCCCATTGATAACATGGGCGGGGTTTGGTTGACCCAGAGTTGGTTCCATTAGGATAACTCCCATGAGCAAACAACCTTCCGTAACACATGTAAGCTGAGCTTGCCGCTGTAATCTTTGTTCAATTGCAGGTTTAGCCTGTTATTGGTGATTCTGTAATTTCCAACCTGTTAACAGCTGTTTGTAGTTAGTGACACTTCTACTGCTAGTTTAAATTGGTGGAATAGTTTCAAGAGTTTTTTCTTGTTAGCTGTCGATTTAACGAAATATGTGAAAAATTTTGGAATAAGTTAAATTATTCAAATCTAAAGTGGTTTAGGTAAATTAGTATGGAGAGTTTCATTATACTGAGAAATTTCTCATCGGCTGAGAAAACATTTTTTAAGTTGCCATATTATACTCTGTATGACGGAACCTAACCTTACCCTCCACCTACATGGGGACGGGCCAATGGTTTAAGGCTCGGACCAGCAAAAGGTACGCGGAGGATTAGGAGTTAAGTTCTGTAAGAAGAGCACTAGAAAAAACCGTTCCTTAGCTGTTTAGTTTCGTATTATTTAATTTACCAAATGTTGACTTTCTTTAAAAAAATAACGGTCTGCGCCAACATTTTAATAAATTGCCAACTTTTCGGCAATGGCTTTTTGTTTGTCAAACTTGCTACCAATTTGTCAAACTGAATACATTATATCTTATATTTTTATATTTTGGATAAGTTACTATTTTGGTTTATAGAAATCTAGGATTTATATTAAACTCTGGTAACCCCTTGGAAAAGAATGAGGCAATAAGTGGGTAATATAAAGTTTCTGTTTGAACACTTAATGTTTATAATTACCATTAGTTTTAGTAGAATATGTTCTACAAAATAGTGCCTAATTACTTGAGCATCTGTTATAATTGCCTACAATCCTTCAGTATTTCAATTTAATTTAAATACTGAGTATATACAATTATAGTAGCACTGAATGAGATAATTGCGAGACTTTGGCCACCATTTGTACTAGGGGATAAATCCCATTGTACTTAGTGTATAACTAAGGGATTTTTGGAGTGTACATAATCAAAGCTATGAGTCAATTTAGCTGATTCCCCTAGCTGGTACCAACCTAACAAAATTACAGCGTCTCGATTTTCTAGCAGAGTTGCCGTGTCATCGTTCCATCCATTAAAATTTTACCACAATCATATGGTTAACATAAAAGCGTACAATCTGTTATCACAATTTAAAATGCAGACCATATTTCACAGTCCGCAGACAACACCTGTTTCGTTGCCACAATACAACAATAGACTCATGAGATCGGACCTAGCACCTGTGGATCTCAAATTTCGCACGTTGCCCGATTGCAAAACCCGGGTCAAGGTGAGGGAAAAGGTTTTCACTTTTCATCTTTCCCAGTGTTGATTGTGAATAGTTGGCCAAGAAGATTTAGGTACATTGTTGGTTGGATGTGCAACATCGGGTGAATGGAATGTAATATTTTTTGATTGTTGGATTTTGATCATTCATAAGAATGCTATGTAATAATTATAATCAATAGTATAAAAACCGTAAGCCGATTATTTTACTGTTGTCAAATTGTTCACGAACTAAATGAACAGTGGTATAAATCGTGTCAATCAGTATGGCAAGTTAGAGAGATGAAGGAAAAACTCTCCTCAATACTGACAGCCACGCCATTAATTATTGGAATGACTGTACCAAAAAACCAAAGCTACGTTTTAGAAGAAAGGTTACTGCGCACATGCTTATAAAGTACAAACCTATAACGACTTACAATCAAAATGAGTTGTACAGTATCTGAATAAGCTGGAAAGTTGACATTATTGCCAGTTGTAAGGTAAGCCTACAGAACTAAGCCACCGATACCCGGGATATACTGGATTACCCTTGATATACTTTTTATTTGTACTATGTATCAATAGGTTGTTTTGTTAATCAATGGTACTTATAATCCTCAATTTTCTTTAATTAAAATAGGCTTGTCAATAATTGCAAATGATAGCTGTTGTGCATTAAGTACTCGTAACACACACGATTTTACCTACCACCATAATTAGTTTATAATAACACACAGATCCACTTTTTAGATATATAAAATTCTATTTAGTTTATTTTTGCTCTTTAAGGTTTAGTTGATTGCTTACCGGTTGTTAACCGGTTGTGTTGTTCCGGCTCCGTGGCTGTGATTGGTCTAGAAAAGACAATTGGGAAACCAGCTGATTAGCTAGCGGGAATGATCCGTTCCTGCTCTAACGTGGCAATGGACTACTTTGCGTACTGTTTATAGGTATGGCAATGGAATGGTTTCAATGCGGTGATAGGAAAATCAAATTCCATTACGTTTAATTGAGTCGTAACACTTTGCTTTGAGGGAGTTGCTCTAGATTACGACTAAAAACCGACAGGGCTAAACTAAAGAATACTTAGCTACTATATTTCATCTTAGATAAATTAGTAAATCTGCATGGATAAGTTCTATCCACAAAATTATATCATGTCAAATTCACTACGGTTAACATATTTTAAAGGGGTCCAATATATATTTCTTCGTTAACAATTACACTTTATGGGACTTATTTACCAACTACTACGCCTAGTTGAAGAAAATGTTTAACCTGTAATTTTCTCTAGTTACATACTAAGCTATTTTTAACACGAATGTGTTTTACATGCCTGAAATATTTCCAAAGTTTCATAAGCTGATGTTTACTTTGGAAAACATTTACTGAGGAATGCTCTTGCGTGCGTGTTTTGTGCAAGGGCCTCGTGTTGGAGATGGCAAAACATGGAAATCTCACTAACTGGAAACTCAGGATGTGTGGCCTAATGAGTGTAGCGTCCTACTTATCATACTTACCACGGACAATAGAGTTGATGCTCAAACTTCTGGCAAAGACCCAGACATAATTGAAGATCGATTAAAATGTTTACCCAATTAATTATGTTTTAGCATTGTTGACTAACTATTTATGTTGATTATGTTGCTTGTATAATGGTCACGAAATGTGGATATTTATAGGCATGCACTGTGGATACGATGCTCTCTAGTATACAACTATTCGCAGTACTATCTTGATAATTAGATAAATTTGCGTTAATTACAAGGAAAAATATGGTTCGGATCACACTATAAACTCTAGATCCCTTAGTCGCCATTGGCTGTATGGGATATGCGATTAATTAACAGCTGTGTCTAGACAAAAAGAATGAAATATAGACCGTCAGCCCTGCTGCGATTAGCAAAGTTCTGGCGTCCTTCGCTGACAGCGCCGTGTAGTTACGTAGCACGTACGCCGTAACTACACGGCACTCACAGCCGTGTGCACCAGAACCTATGGTAAACATGGTAACCGCAACACGGCTGACAGTCTATATTCAATTTTTTTTTCTATGGTCTAAGCAACATGTCAGCCTTAGCCACTAAAGAGACTACAAAATCGTGCCACTCATCCTACACTCATCCATCACTCATATTTTAGTTAAAATACGCACATAGTGGCGTCCCACTAATACTTATTATAAATTAAATAAGAGTATAAAATTGATATTGTTGATTCTACGACACACCATTAGTATTCATGACTTTTAGAATCACGAGTTAATACATATTTAAAGGGGTTGTCAGATTTTTCAATGTAAATAGATGAAAGAAAAATGAACAGCTTTTTGATCAGCATTGTACGTGTTCAAATAATTTACAGAAAGTAAATTAAAATACAACTAATTAAACTCTCGAAACATATATCTAAACGTTCATGCTGTTAATGTACAATACGGATTAAAGAAAATTTGGTAAGTGGTGATCGATTTCGATTTAACTCTCCAGTAAATCGTTAGTGTCCAACCAAATTAGGACACCAATTCACATATTTGTATTTACCTTTTTATGAGTTAATAGAGCAAGTATATTTCGAGAGTGTTAAACGTTATATTATACTTTCTGAAAAAAACTAAACGCTCATTATTATTTTATTGGAGGATTTTATACATTCACTACGAGATGCCCATACAAGCGGGGTTTCATGTATTGCCATGGATGAACACTTGCTAAATGTACCTGCGTGGTGGCGCTCAGATTGGCGTATTGTGATAATAGCTTGTGCATGTAGTGGAAACCACGCAAACCATTGATGATTGTAGAGTGGTCAAATACGTGGCTATTCACTTTCATGGTGCTTACACCTCACACCTTTCTAAATTAAAGGGAACTAAGTTTCTGTGTTTAGGATTCCGTTACGTTACAGCCGCCTTTCAAATGCTTGTAATTTAAAATATGTTAAAATGCATGTATTTCTAAAGACTTTGTTGTCATGTTTTCTTTATATTCTTTTTATCAAATTATGAGTAGGTGTTGTAAAAAGTGGAAAAAACGGATCTGGGATTTATATATGGTCTTTAATTAAATTAGATTTTCATCATATCTAAGTATATATTACATTTAAGTAATAGATTTATGAGCGAGTATAATTCTACGGTACAGTTTTACAATTGTTCTAATTTTTTAACTTTATTTGTCACTATATTGTAAACTTTTTACAGCCTCGTCAATATCTAATAAGAGATCAAGTTATTGAGTTGTTAAATACACAGCATGTTCCGTATTTTAACAGTCAACCTCCGAAAAATGGTTCTGTGGGTTAAAATAAGTAGGTAATAATAATCGAACTCTTTCCAAAATCTCTTCGTTAACCAGATATCTGCATTTTTTTTACATACTTTTTAATCTTCGGATCGTTCAAACCGACGTTCTAAAAATTCGTATCCATACCTATGTTAAGGTATAATAGACCAATGTTAGAAAAAAAATAACTTGGTCAAATTCCAAATATAACAATTTGTCCATTTTCATTTTCATAATTTAAATTACTAACTTTTGAAGCTACATCAAGAACAGTTTTGTTTATTATCTACAATTTCCCATCCAACGATCCCAAGCTCAAAAAAGTTATATCAAAAATAGCAAAATATCACGACTTTTTGTTATAAAATGAGGTAGAATAAAGCTAAGCTAGTCAGGTGGCATTTTATTTTGCATAATTTTGCTCACAGGACGTTCTGTATAGTTTGTCCTAATCCTCCGTTTGAATTCTCACTATGAAATAATGACGTAAACGTGACATAAACCTATTAGTTTTTATCAGCAATAGTTTCCTCATCAGTTGGCAAGCCTTTGCACTCAACTTATCTCTACGAGTACATTATTTACACGAGTGCAAATAGCCTTTGGCAATCTGCAAGCCAATTAATCTTTAAAAATATTAATTATATTTTCATCTTTGTTAAAAATATTTGTAATAGTCTTGTTAAACCTTTAAATAAATAAACTTATCAAGCAAACAGCTCTTTAAAACTCTGGCTCTATTTTGAACAGTTATTTACACAAACAGTAATTATATTAAGAGATTTACGATTCTAAATAATATTTGCCCGCATTAAAAACAGATATCTTTGCGAATTGTAAATATACAAAACTAATATATAACAAACAACTTTACCAACATTGACGTAATATCAGGAACTAATGAAGAGATTTTCCCGCGATTTACACAGAAAACCAGGCGAAAGCAGGGTGTCCAACATTGCGGAGCGGAAGTTCCCGCCGAAACTTATACAACGACGAACATCGCTACTGAGTAGGCCTACTTACTGCTTAGTCTCTTGATATTATGATCTGGGTCATAATGATTACTTGCCCTTCTTTATTGTATGATTGTGGATTGTTGCGTCAGGGCTTTTACGTAAAACCCTTTCATGTAATGTGTTTAAAACAAATCACTCAGAAATAATTTACCATTTTCGATATGGGACAAACCTCGCCCAGAAAACTGATAAGCAGAAATAACCGACTATTATCAAAATCGGGTGAAAAGAAGCCAGAAAATTTATGAGCCACGAAAAACACTCGAAAGCCATGGGACAAGCTTTACTTTCCGCTACACTTTAGAAATCAGCTTACAGATTAATGCTAGGAAAATGTATCTTAATCACTAAAGTTAGTTTCTAACATACATAATTCATATTATTTTTTTTATAACAATTAACTTCAGTGATTTTTGGATTTATTCAGTATGAGCTAATTTCCCTTTAGGAAATACGCTCTTACCGTAGGTCCCACGGAAGATCTAGACCCGGGACCGATTTACTTTTACATTTCGTTGTCTCCAGAAGAAAAAAAAACTGCATTAAAATATATATGAGTTCACGAATCAGTTGGAGTAATGTAAACTAATGACCTTATGGGGTATTAAAGTTTTACAAAAAATGTTTTATTTTTTTTCAAGTTTTATCCTTGAAACAAGAAAGTGCTCGATTTTCACTACAGCCCTCGTGTAGAGCTTAAAGTACACAGCATTTTATATATTGAAGCATTGTTGTACGATTAAATATTACTGAGATAATTAACAAGAAAAAATTAGCCTATATATTTAAAACTCCTAAAAATCTTATGAAGAAACTAAATATTTTTCGTTGAGTTAAAATTGAGCAAATTAGCGTATTACATTCTATAAGATAAACATTTAACAAAACTACCCTTTCTCCTAGCTTGTAGCAGCAAGCCTTAGTAGACTTTAAATTTAGTAATAGAAGGAACAATGTGACTTTGCTTATGGAAATATTAGGGTAATAAACCAATTAGAAAAACTGAAATTTAGTTGCAGGTTTGTTGTGGTGGGGGTATTTTTGTTTACTGATATTACACAAAAACAATTCACACTTAATGTTTATACAGTATGCATAATGAAGCAATCTATACACGTTTTTTTACTTCATATTTTTGTTTCTTTTCACTTTTATTCGTCACAACAACAGAAAAAATAGCACAATTAGAGTTAAATCGATAATGATAAATTGATATAAAATTAAGTTTGAATTTAAAGCAAAGAACCTCAAAATATGTTTAAATACAACACGTTTTTTTAAATAAATTACTGTCACTATTCCCAAACAATAATTAGATTTTCAAGTTTGTTTTAAAATGTAGTCTAATAATAAGAATAAAAATTTAAGTGTCTTATACGATATGTTTTCGTCCGTAGAACTATTTCATGTAAAATTCTTCATTTCAACAATTTGTTTGATGACCAACAACGTAAACACTTTTCAATCTGCTAACCTCAAACTACAGCATAGATCCTTGTAGACCACCTAGTTGCAAGAAACAAATTATATTTCTCGTTGTTTATTTATTTTAGAGTCCTTTTCAGCGTGACGGGGGCGAGGTCCTGCCTGGAAGGAACCGAAGGTCCTCCCATTGGATAACCGACAGGAGAAGGGAGGAATATAAAAGCGACAGCAACAGTCAGACGGTACCTGTGACTCTTCTAGCAACAATGAATCAGGTAGGAACTATCACTGTATGTAGCTGTGGGTGAAGCGGAGTATTGTTGTAGTGTTAATCTAATTAATCTAATTAATCTAATTAGTATACACCTTTTATTGTACATTAAATTAGTAAATTTTGTGAAAATGTGTAACTGTTTAAACACTTTCAATATTTTAAAGCTTTTTGGTTTCGCATTGCAATATTTATAAATTTTATTTTTTATTAGGTTGTTTTTCTTATTTGTTTTCTTTAGTCTTATCCAATAAACCAGAGTATTTCCGAATAATTAACATTGTTGCTTTAGCCTCACGAATTTCAATTGCACTCTATGCTAAGCTTAACAAAACGTTGATTTTACTCCAAAACTATCCATGAATTAACAAGAGTCAAGATAATTTTGTTTATTCTGCCTCAAACGGACATAAATTATAATTAAGTTGAATATTTAGAACATTACTTTAACGTTTAACGCTAGATTTTCTAGTTTAGTTTTAAAATCATACATTCCTAGCTAGCTAAACAACAATTATTTTCAATCATAGCAATCAATAAGTGTACCTCAAGTAACCCTTCAAAAAATAAGCATTAACACCTGAGGTCTATAGATTTATTTTGACTCAATGGATCTTATTGTAATAAATAGTTAATAAATTACCTTAACATTTCTACTCAAAAGTCTAAATTTTTTAAAAGTCACTATACTGAACTTAGAAAAAAGTATCCTAACCATTACAACCTGGTATTTAAGTCGTAAGAAATTGACTAATTCCTTGTTGAGCTAATCCTAAAGTTATTTGAACCCTACTTTTAAAAATGTACTGCTACCACCACAAGTAAAAAAAATTTGCATTTAATGGACATAATATTCATATTGAATTATTTCAACAATATAAAGTACATTAAAGTTATTACTAATTGCTGAACCGAACGAAAAGTCCCTCATACCATAGCTATCAATCAATTAACAAAGTATTAACGCCTGAAGTTAATCTATTTTGCCTCAAGAGATCCCTAACTAATTATATTGAATATTTCCAACGCTGTAACTTTAATATTGTTGCTTTAACCGTAAAGAATTCGCCCTAAACCGGATAAAAAGTTGTTCGTTCTTTATCAATTATATAACAATGCACTTAACGCCCAAGGTTAGATTCTTTTCATTAGTTTTCATTCAATATTTAATTTTATCAACGTTATATAAAGGGTGTTGTTTGATCCATTAATGCATGTTGTAAGGTTATAGTATGGTGACCTATAGGCTAATATGGAAAATAGATCAGTGACATAGTGTTATTTATGGTTTGTGTGGGCGTTGTTTTACCCTTGATACCGAAACTACAAAGCATAATTATTTAAAAACGTTAGTACAGTAATAGGTTTTGTATTTTCGAAAACTTTTGAATTGGTTTTTAAATTATTTAACTAGATATTTGGTATTCTGATGATTTTTTCCTCAATGATAGAAACTAATAAATAAATTTAAGTTGTTACAATTGTTAACGGTACGGAGTTTATAGTATCGCACGTTATGTTATATATTTACAACAGGTAAATACCAAGAATTTGCTTTTCTCGTTGAATCAGTCTTTTACTTACAAATTAAAATTATGAGCGATTTTAACCAATCAATGGAATTGATATACTTTGTGATACTTTTGAAAGTTTGTCCCTTATAGTACTTCAAAAAGAAAAAAAAGACTAATGACTGTGCTCGACGGCTTTTTCAATGTTCTTATACTTAAGGTTAATACCGACCCATTACAACAAACCCAAAACATTCCAATTGCGTATGTATACAAATAATAACTATACAAAAAAATAAATACAATCAAGAGCTTGGATGTAGTTACATAATTATGGATACTAAGTAGTTCGTACCACCTTATAACTTTATTTTATTTTCTACAGGTGATACTATGTATAAAAACTACTGTCTAGTAGTTTCTACTACCTAAAATCTTAATTTTATTTTCCATAGGTGTTTATGTGTACTGTCTTAAGTTTAACCAATTCCAAATTTTCCACGAACGAAACATGAAGATCCAATTTAAACGTCCACAATGAACAATTTGAAACATAATATATTAAATAATTCTACATGTAAGTTTAGTTCCAGATCAGGTACTATACTCACGTCCCAACTGTAATTCAATGATGGTTTGCAGGTAGTATTGTCTCTTGCCGGCCTCATTGGCCTTTGTGCTGCTGGATATGTCCACCATTCACCGTACAACCAAGTCGTTGACTACTACGTGAGTAGATTAAACAACTATTTGAGTTATATTGTTATATTTTTTAATGAAGATCATCCAAAACAGTGAAAAATACTTCTCACCTCCTTAAGAAGTTAGTTTTCTATGGAGTTGCAGCACCTTGAGAAACTTTCAGGCTGGGATTTTATTCCTGGCATTAGTGTTTAGCTGGATTAGAACCTGTGGGTTACAGGAACGCAATCACTAAACCACCACAGAAGTTCCTCTCATTGTGGAAACCCAAAGATAATAAAGATTGTTGTAGAAGGTATACTTATTAATCAAATCCAATAGAATTACCCCCCATAGGGCGAGCTAAATTATGAATCATATTGCTTACGTTCTCTAATAATCAAGGCAAAAACTTGAAAACCGTCCGGTTTCTTAACATAATAGTAGGGTATATGGGCTTTTGTTACTTATCTCTATTTGTTAGTGTACATCTTACAAGTCTATTAACTTTTTTGGGTTTTAAGGACGAAATAAGATGCAAACTCATTTTTAAGGTAACATTTAGCCTATTGTAATTAAAATAGAAGTGTAAAAGATAATGTTAAAAATACCCTAAACATCACTGAAATTGCTTGAGAAATTTAAATATTAAAGGCGAACACACAAAACAGTAACTAACACATTGACTGATATCATAAATTAACAACATCTAAAGGTCGATGTTAGATAGTAACATGACCAGGGTTGGATCGTTCCCTTTCATAACGTGGAAAATACCTTTGTCATGGAGAACACACAAAAAAATTAAATTAAGCATAAAATCAGCTAAAATACCTCTAAAAACAAAGACCATCCAAAAAAGACGAAACGATAATTATGTCGATTAAAGAATAAACCTTCATAACTATGTAAACTATCATATTATAAGGTGTATTCGTATTCTACCTTTCTCAAACACAATTGTTACAAATATTTAGGTACGAAAAAACAAAAGGACAGATAACCCACTTTTTCCAGACTAGATTGGCTTTAACGTACATTCAAAAAGTTGACACCATTAAACATTGGCAAGGAATATAAGAAAACATATTTTATTCGTATATTATAACTGAAGTAGCTAGCATTACGTTATATTAGGAATTAACACAGTTAGAAATAATTTCTACAACATTAAAATTAAATACTATTAAAATCATTGATTTGGGAATATTGCTAACTAGCAATATGGTGAGGTGACAAGTAGTTTTTTAATGCACAACCACATCACATTCTAGTTCGCTTGGCTCTGACCCGTAACCGTTTTTACACATTAATTCAGGCATAAACACATATATAAAATCCATTGGTTAATGGTGGGATTTGATCCCGGGACCTCAGGGCCAAAATACTCGTTGGTCTCACACTAGACCAACTCGTTCCAAAAAGGTGAAAAAATAGATTAATACAAAATTTAGATTGTATAAAATATGTAATAACAATTTATAAAACTTTTAAAAGTTTATAACAAATTAACAATTTGTTAAAGTATAATTTTGGTGAAACAGCCAAAGTATGAAAGAACAACATAATTAAATATAACCGTGTACAGAAACTCTAGCACCTTTTCATAGGGACAAATACATTAGTGTACGTTCAATCTACAATTTATTTGACAAATATCTCATACAAATATCTAAAATTCCCAACAATGAGTTAAACGAATACCACGCTTGTACAAGTTGTATAAACTTGTTGTTTTACGTATTATTTTATCATATTGTATACCTGAAATTGCTTAAGTGACAGCGGAATACGTGTGAGTGACGTGTATCGTTTATGATGAAACTGTTCCTGGAACTGGTTCGGTGACCTGTCCAATATGTGTTTACGTAAACCTCAAAATGAAATAAACTGAATGTGACACAATGTATTTTGGTCGCAAAGTATGCAATACAACAAGGCACATTAAGATCTCAAATATGAAAAGGTTAACAAAAATGTAAAAGCGTTCAATACCATATTATTTGAAATTTGCTCCTATTTGTGTCTAAATAGATGTAAGGCCCCTATTAGCCGTGAGCAACATGTGGCGCAGCTAGTGGAGCCGCCGGTGGAGCCGCCGGTGACTCGCAGCGTTTGGAACCTGGACACTAGTCGCGCGACACATTCGTAGCTCGCTCAAACAGCGGAATTCACCACAACACTCAAATATGACATTGAGTGACTGCATCCACAATTTGCACGTCAATAGCACTAGACATTGTTTATCTAAACTAAAGACAATACAAAACGCTAATGACACAAAAAGGAAATAATACACTGTTAAAAAGGTCACTGGTAAAAAAAGTGAACAGAAGTCACTAATGAATAGAACAGCTATATGGCGAGGCACGTCTCAATCGACTCAAACCACGGTGTAGACTATGTGACAGGCTTCGTTTTCAGGTTAATAGTGCATGCGAGCGCAGTCAGTGGCGTCGCATGTTGCCCACGGCTAATAGGCTCCATATACTGCAATGCCCCCCGACTGCCTGGACACTAAAACGGTCGCGACACATGTTGCCGGGCAAAATCACTCCCGGCAACACCTCGGGCAGCTTTTTCGGCGGCGCCACCGGTCTCTCTACGGCTAATAGGCACCATTTGACTCCATGCCCCTCTACACGTCCGACACCGGCGGCTCCACTAGCTGCGCCACATGTTGCTCACGGCTAATAGGGGCCTAATAGTTTGGCTTTTGGATACAAAAGGTTGATGAAGAAAAAGAGGTACGAGAAGTTCCTCAAAGTAAAAAATAATGTATCAATTCTGGAGTTGTGTCATTCAATGATTGCTTCAGAACAAGGGGTTTCGCTTACATGTTAAAACAAATTAGGTATGAATTCTCACGCCATTTGCGCTATATTTTCAACTTGTTATAACCTGTCATATTCCAAAATAACTGCTTAATGTCATTATACATCCTTTAATATATTATAAAAACTAAATAGGTAAAACTAAATCAGAATGAAATAATTCATTTTCTCATTGAAACCTTTATTATTACTCAGGAGTATCATCAATCCATTTTTTGGTTTTTCAACTTTTTTTGTTTAGGTTAGGTTAGGTTAGGTTGGATTAGGTTAAGTTGTCACCTTTTAAGTACGATAAAAAACTTACATGGGTGTAAACAGACATATGAAATAAGAAGCCTAATTCATGTTATGGGGGAGCTAGATTTGTAATTAGCGTCTCGGATTTGCTCGGACATAGTGATAGGAACGGGGTTCGATTCCAGCATATCGAAAAAAACTTGGACCTTTTCCCTAAAGTTTTTTTGCTGCTGTGCAGTAATCTGTACATGTAGACCCAATTTTTGACACAAATTAAAAAAGTATTTGGAATTGTAATAACTTTCACTGGTAACAAGTTCGAGTATATCCTGAACTGAATGAATAGTTCAATGGGATTAGTCACTGTGACAAATATCATTACAAGTTCCCAAACTGTTAAACTGTTAGATAAGTAAATTTCTAGAAGCATCTGTTCTATTTCAACAGTTTACTCAGTGATAAGCAAATTGTATTGTTTCTGACGAGGAAACTTAGCTGTCAGATATAACAGGAAATCGCTTAAGTCTGTGAGACGTCGTAATTATTGGATATTTATGTACACTAGCTGTTACTATAGACGCTGTTACCAACGGGCTTCACCGCGTTTGACTTCATAAGTATTAATAAAACTATTGATTGGTTGGAAATAAAAGCTGAAATAAACCAAGCAGAATACAGTAGCCTAATGCAAACAAATAATCGCACCTGATTGTAATAAGGTAATAAATAAAAAGAATAACATACAAATAAATACAGCTGAGGTATTTTTAACATTAGGTAAATGGAAAGTTCCCTTTAGAAAGGAATTACGACCTTAAATGGCAATTTATGAAATAATGCATTTTTCGTGCTTATTTTTGAGCTTATTTTAATTTATGAAGAGATTCTGCACATATACAGGAAAATATCCTTCTAACAGTATGCGTAGGTGTTCCCCGCGATGCTTACGAGCTGAGAAAAAGGTTTTAAAGAAACATGCTTGCCTGTTAATATATATAGATACTAGCTAGCCCGACAAACGTTGTCCTGTCCTAATGTGGTTTTATATCAAATGCTCGTTCATTTTCAAGATGAGCTCGTTCGCATCGCCCAATCTCGTCCTGGTTGAAGTTCGTTCGCCACGCTCACTCACCTTTTGATCGGAGCTCGTTCGCAGCGCTCACTCGCCTCGAGGTTGAAGTGAGCGATCTAGTGTAAAGGGAATATAAAACAAAATTTAAAATCTAATTACTAAATAACTGTTGGATGGATTATAATGGATTATTTCCTTACAAAAAAACCTTCCCATGGCACTAAGGAGCAAAACAAAAATAATAATAATCCAATTTGGTGCACTCGTTCTCGAGTTATGGAATACCATCAAAAAAGGGACTCATTTTCATTTATACAGATGAATGTAGGAACTCTAAACTTTTAAATTTAATTAGAGAGGTTCAAATATAAATCAACAGTGGGTGAATTTAAAAGTAGAAAGGAAAAACAGCACAAAACTGAAGTAACAATTGCAGTAAGAGGCATGCCTTTGCCATCCCGGTCCACGCATGTAATCCACGCATTGTGTCAGGGCTTACACAGGTTTCCCATCTACCAATTAACTGGTTACGTCATGTTTCTCACTGTATTACGAGTACCATTGTTTAAAAGCTTTCGCTCGTCCTCCCAATCCCACAATGGATTTTTGGACAACAGAATCCGGAGATGATAAGTGGGTTAGGTAACCTAGCGTGGTTGGAAAACAGCAAGGTTTCTTGTGCATGTGGTTGTTATTGTAAATGATTGAAAATAAAATTTTGGTATGCATCAATGGTCAATCCCATTTACATAATGGAAATGCACAACGAATCTTAACTAATAATAAACAACAATAAGTAGTTTGACTGTACACAAGATGCATAACAAATAATTTACAAGAGAAAATAATAACTTGGGTTACAAAAATCCAATATTCAACTCAATGTAGGGTTTAATTAAAGTAAA